GGTCAATCTCTAATCTAACTAAGAAGATTCTCTGGTTTTCCCACCATTTCTGCATTCCAGACGATCATTCCTTTACCTCCAAAGACACACCAAAGACATCAGGTGCATAGATCAGGATCTAGCTGCCCCCAAAGTCAGGTAACTTTAAACTCCCTTGGATTGCTATTAGTCCGCAGATCAGGTCTCATGGACATTAGGAATCCCCCGCCCTCAAGAGCTCAAACTCTGTCTGACGTCCCAACCAGCCCCTCTCACCCTGCCACGCCTCTGCCTCCCGTGCTGGACTCCCCTCCCGGACCCCCTGCAGTCCCCAGGCCCTTGGCTCCTTTATGATTGCTTTTGCTGCCCTGGTCCAGCTGGCGCAACATTTCCAAGACCTTCTCACCGACACCCTAGGCCATTGTCCTACCTGAGTGAGGTCCTCAGACCAGCATCCGTGTCTGCTGGGAACTGGTGAGAAACGCAGGCTCTCGGCCCACATCACACCTGCTGGGGAGGGCCCCGGGCACCTGTGTGTTACAAGCCCTTGCAACGACTCTGACACATGCACCACTGAGAACAGCTGCCCCGGCGGTCGGGCGGGGGTTCCTAATGTCCACACGCGGCCCCTCTGCACCTCCAGCCTCGGATAAACTCCACTTCAAGGCTGGATTTCATGCACAAGCAAGGAATACAGTGGAACGAATGAAGAAAAGCCCCGGGTTTTGACCTCTTTGCCTGGTCTCTGTACGGTGCAAATGGAAGGACAAAACAATTCAGCAGTGTCCCCTTTGCATCCCCACAAACCCACTTCAGTCCCTCACCAGCTTCAATCTCAAACCAGCTGAGGCAGGACCCACACCAGCATAAGTAGCAAACGCACAAAGCAGCCATTTCTGGGTGTAAGGGATGCAGACGTCCATCCTAGAGGCCAGCTGAAAGTTCCTCCTGCATTTGTCATTTCATAATTTTCCAGAAGGAAGACATACTCAGCAGGTTCGCCTTTGGCAAACAGGATCAGGTGTCAGGACAAAGAAGTCTGTTCCGCAACCTGGAAAACCCCCATCTACCTAGGCCTGTCTGCCCCTCCTGCCCCTTTACAGGCTTCTGAGGTCAGGCCTTCTGGTCTCCAGGGGCTCCCCTCTCCACCTG